TGCTGCTGCTGTTGCTGCTGCTGCTGTTGCTGCTGCTGCTGTTGCTGCTGCTGCTGCTGCCTACGTACTGCTGCAGCTCTAAGTAGCCCGGGTGAATCCCAGCAACCCCAATTACATCTCGCCCCTTTTCCAGGAGGGCCAAAGAGACCCTGAGAAGAATGGAGTGTACAAACACCGCAAATAATGGACTGTACATACACCTCAAATGATGGATGCACATACACCGCAAATGATGGAGTGTACATACACCGCAAAGAATGGAGTGTACATACACCTCAAGTGATGGAGTGTACATACACCTCAAATGGAGTGTACATACACCGCAAATAATGGAATGTACATACACCGCAAATAATGGGGTGTACATACACCTCAGGTGATGGAGTGTACGTACACCTCAAGTGATGGGGTGTACATACACCGCAAATGATAGAGTGTACATACACCTCAAAGAATGGAGTGTACATACACCTCAGGCTCTGCGCCGTGCGCTGAGAACTTGTGGGGTTTTCTGGATTAGGTTTAGGGTTTAGGGTTTTGACTAGAGCGTAGGATTGAAGGATCTGCCTAGGGTTTAGGCTTTAACGACCTGCCAAGGGTTTAGGGTTTAGGGTTTAGGGTTTGCGGCTAGGGTTTAGAGTTCCATAAGACGCACTCTGTTTGCCGCTCCTTCGCCTCAGCTGCCGCCAGACAAACAAAGATCTGAAAGGAGCATCGCAAAACCCTAAACCCTAAACCCTAAACCCTAAAACCTCGTCTTGCTGGACCCTGCCACCGTTTCGTAAAGCAGTCTGCGCTGCAGGGCCCCAAACCCTAAACCCTAAACCCTAAACCCCACTTGAGCAGTTACTAAAGCGTCATAGCCCGCCTCATGGCTGCGCGCCTCAGGCAGCTTGTGGGGGACGTTTAGCTCCTGCAGCAGCACGAACTCAAAACCCTAAACCCTAAACCCTAAACCCTAAACCCTAGAAAGCTCTTAACGGCCAGACAACCCTCCAAAACTTCTACTCCTAGACCCTACGGGCGATTCTGCTGCAGCAGCCGAGGGTCTAGGCCCAGGGTCAGGGTCGAAGGACAGCCTAGGGTTTAGGGTTTAGGGTTTAGGGTTTGGAGTTACTTTAAAAGAAAAGTCAAAGGAACTCTTGCGGCTCTCGTCCACTACGAAGCAGCAGCTGAGGCCTGGAATGGCCAGCAAGTGGTTCCTCAGCGCATGCAGCGCCGTCCTGCGGCCCCAAACCCTAAACCCTAAACCCCAAACCCTAAACCCTAGACCCTAGACCCTAAACCCTAAACCCCAGTTCGTCGCTCTTTGCTAAGCTGCTAAACCCTTCAGCTCCTGTCTTTTAACTTGTTCTGTGTCCTGCAACGGCAAAAGGCGCCGTGAAGCGGCCCAGGGCTTGGAATACAGGCTTAGGGTTTAGGGTTTAGGGTTTAGGGTTTAGGGTTTGGCATTCGAGGTGAAGGGTTTAGGGTTTACCTGCCGAAGGTGTTGCAGGGAGTCACGTGAGTGGCAATGTACTTGGTGTCGAAAACACCGCCGCTAAAAAGTCTGTAGCAGCAAACCCTTGGAAACCCTAAACCCTAAACCCTAAACCCTAAAACCAAGACCCTAAACACCAAGCCCTAAACCCTAAACCCTAAACCCTAACAAAAACGCTACCACGCAGGCCCTAACCAGCAAACTTTAAACCCTACAGCAGCACGAGACCCGCGGTACTGCAGGAGCCCGCACACCAAACCCTAAACCCTAAACCCTAAACCCTACCTGGAAACTTCTTTTGCAAATTCCGAAAGGGTGGAAGGAACATCTTGGACAAATTTGTCCAACAAGTGCAGCAAATCTAAAAGCCCGTTGTGCAGCACTAGGGGGGCCTCGGCCTCTATGAGGGCTCCCGCTAGCTCAGATAGCCCCGCGCTGCTGCTGCTGCTGCTGCTGCTGCTGCTGCGGCTGCTGCTGCTGCTGCTGCTTTTTGTGTCTCCTGCAGCCGTC